TGGAGGTGCAGTGCGCAGGAGCCCTTCTTTTTATTCACAAATGTTTGCCATCTTATCTATATCCGTGTTCACATGAGGGCCTTCATAGGCCCACCCTCCACCACCACGCTTTGTTTGCTACCAAAAAATATTTTAAGAGTTCCTCAGCTGCAAATCCGCCTATGGAGCGGGGGCTCCAGGAACCCAGCCTTGCTGTGGGCTGGGGCCCCACAGCACCTGCTGCACAGGTGTTGGTTGTTAAAACTGAAGTGGTCATTTGCCGTATTCATGGGCCCTCGGGGGCTGGCGACACCTGGGCACACAGGCCAGCCGCAGCGTCCCGCCTGCGGGTATGGAGAATGGGGCTCCTCACTCCTGTTCCCTGGTGGTGGGGGCAGTGCCCCGAGCTCACACACCTCAGAACCCACTGACCCACACGATGGGGCACCTCATGGCCCCTCGACAGCCTCTCAGCCTGAAAGACCGTCAAACTGAGTTCCTGGAGAGGGTGACCCTTGAGGCCTGGACACAGGTGGGGACAGGGTAGCCCTGCCTCATCTTGGATCCCGCTCAGGTTCAGCCTCTTGTGGGTCTGAAGCTCAGGCTGGGCCAGTCCCTGCCCGTCGCAGGGCCGGAAAGGCAGCCCAGCCCCACAGCCTCCTCATTGGGCCCTCAGAGCCTCCCGGCCTCCATCTCTGCTCTTTTTTGTCTTTTTTTAAAGATGAAATCTCACTCTGCTGCCCAGGCTAGAGTGCAGTGGAGCCATCTCAGCTCACTGCAACCTCAGCCTCCTTGGGTTCAAGCAATTCTCCTGCCTTGACCTCCCAAGTAGCTGCGACTGCAGGCATGCACAACCACGCCTGGCTAATTTTTGTGTTTTCATAGGGACTGGTTTTCACCGTGTTGGCCAGGCTGGTCTTGAACTCCTGGCCTCAAGTGATCGCCTGCCTCGGCCTCCCAAAGTGCTAGGATTACAGGTGTAAGCCACACGCACCACCTCCAGCTCTGCTTTGATTTGCCCTCAAGTCCCTGAGGATGTCTGGGCCTCCTTTCCTCACAGGCCCATTGATGCCTCCAGAATCTCTGCAAAGCCACTTTCCCCATCAGGAGCTCCCCAGCTGGTGGGGGGGCCCTTTGGGGATCACCGGCCAGGCAGTCATGGAGGCCCATGGGCCCTACTTCCTGGCTAGACCCAGACCCGGTGTGTGGGGTACATCTGGTCTGAGCTGAGGCTCCTGGAAGCCACAGCCCAGAGGGAAGGCTGTCATGTCCCCATTCCCCTGTCTCCCAGGGTCCCTTCGGGGCAGCTCTTCCTGCCTGAGCCTCCCAGTTGCCCTGGCCTTCCAAAGCCCAGCCCGAAGCCTTAGGCACCCTACAGCCCGCTTCCTCTAGCCTGCCCTGCCTCTTCTCTGCTGACGTTCCTGAAACTTTCTTGCCTCTCCTTACCTCTTGGCCAGAGGGAGACAGGAGACCCCGTGGGAACACCCGAGGAGTGGGAGAACGCTGCTGTTTGAATGGAGGTGGTCTTTCCCTCTGCCCTCCCCAGGTGGGTCACACTTGCAGGCCCAGCCACCTGCTCTGGCAGCGGTTGGGGTGTCGGCTGCCTCCTGGGCATGAGATGGGAGCTGAGGGAGGCGCTTTCTGGACTGGAGTGGGAACCCAGCTGGAGGAGGAGTGACAGGCCTGTGGTCAGCAGCCACCACGGGGACCCCAGCGCTGTACCTTCGGCCCAGCTGACCCCTCCCGCTTCCCTAGGGCGGGCTGGGCATGGTGGTCTGTTGCCCAGCCCAGGAGGAAGCGAGGCTGTGGCTTCCACTCTTGAGGTCTCTCTCCTGGGTCTCCCCTGCTGGTCTAACTGCAGGCCTGCCTTAGCGTGGCTCCGTGCCGGCATCTGCTGACTAATGCTTATCTGATGCTGATTAGAGAGGGCTGGGATGGGGAAGCAGTGGGTCACTGCAGGCTCAGGTTACAGACGGTTGAGGCACCTCCCGGCCATCCCCAGGAAGCAAGGTCCTACGCAGCCTCCGACTCGGCTACTACCTGTGTGTATTTCAGGAGGCCTCATCCCCCAAGGCCCCCACCAGGTAACTTTATTGGGCTGGGTGTCGCTGCAAACTCACCCATTGGGTGCAGTGGTTTTCTGGTGTGGGGTGTGGCTGGGGAGGATGCAGTGGAGGAGCAGCCAGCTCCGTGGCTGGGGGGAGGGTGGACCCTCTGTTTCCTGTCTGCCCTCTGAACTGGAGCTCATGGTTCCTTCCCCAGGCGCCTGGGCCATGGAGGAGGTCACAGCCCTGCCTTATTCCTGTGGCAGCCTGGGGTAGCCCTGGCCACTCCTGTGTCTCCTCGGAGGGTGGCAGCAGGTCAGGCTGCAGGCCAGGCCTGGAATGCAGACCCCCGCCTGGCCATGCCATTGCTTGGCTGCTCTGTCTGGGGATGTTCTATGCAGGAAGAGGGAAATGGCCGGACAGCCCGGCTGAGCGGCTGGAAGCTGCGCTCCTGTGTTCAGTGGGCAGGAAGTTTGTTCTGTGGAACATTCACCTGCTGCTGCTTGCAACTTCTGGCTGGTGGGTCTGCGAGGCCCCCACTGGGCTATGTGAGGTCCTCTGGCCACCCTGGCCTCCGGGCCTGCCCCTATGAAACAGACACCTGGGCAGCTGCCCACCTGTGCCTGCAAGCCTGGGGGACATGTGTCTTCAGGGATGGCTGATTCTGCTCCACCCAGAGGACCTGGGAATCCTCAGCCCAGGTGTCCAGAGGAGTCTTTCTCAGTAGGAGTACTTGAGCTGTCCAGTCCTTTAGATCTCAGGGGGCCTTTTCTGCCGGCCGTTCCTCCTTCTGTCCCTGCTTCTCTGTCCCCCAGCTGTCTCCCACCCTCTCCCCTGCAGCAGCCAGCTGCCCCAGGGACCTCCCTTTCCCTCCAGGATTCCGAATGGGATGACTTCCCTGGTCTTTCTGGGTGCAGATCTTTCCAGCAACAATCAGTGAAACCCTGTCTCAGGTGAGAGAAGGCTCAGTCACTGATAATAATGACGGTCCTAACCACATCGCTCACAAACGCTGGCTTTCACTTACCCTTGCCCTGCCCAGCAGTTACTTTCATGATCCCATTTTCCAGATTAGGAAATCAAGGCCTATAGAAAGCTTCAGCCACTTGGCTGAGGCCCCACAGTTAAGTGTCTGGATTTGAACCCTGGGGCAGCCTGGTTGCTGAGCTGCCCTGGAGACCGGGTGCTGTGCAGGGGTGGTGGGGGGTGGAGGTCTACCATTGCTGAGCCCTGGGCTACCCGGAATGATAGCACAGCCCTGTGTCTGGGCCCTGCCTGAGGCTTTGGCTGGATGCCAGGAGCCCGGGCTCTTCCCTTCCTTCCGGCTCTTTCCTGGGCAAGAAAAGGGTGAAATGGAAGAAAACCCCAGTGAGGGGTCCCATCTTCCTTCAGTCCCTCAGCTGCACTGGATTTTGAAATAAGACACCAGCTGTCTGGGGGGGGGGCGAGCAGAGACAGATTGGAACTCATTTCTCTTCCCCAAGTCACAGCTGCGGGGAGCTCATCTTCCTCTTTCTCTCCCCACAAGACCTGGGCTGGACACTGGGAAAGCCAACAGGAAGTCTCTTGGCTGCGGTGGGGATGGGGTCTGTGCTTCCCTGGGGCGCGAGGTGAGGGCTCCAGGAGGAGCAGGGAGGCTCCGGCTGCCCTGCCCACATCTCTGCCTCCTGGTTTTGCTTCCTGTCCTGGGAGAAGGTATCCCCATGTCCCAGAATGCACCCTCCGCATGTCCAGGGATGGCTTTTGGCAACTCACCTGACGTTTATTATCTTTCTCTTTGGGGCTGGAGAGGCTCCTCCACGGCAGATTGGGCTGAGCTCCATGCCTCCGCCAGCGTCTTTCTCCAGGCACTGCCTCTCACTGCACAGGGGTGCAAGTTGTTAAGGACGGGTCTTCACCCTCAGGGACTGGCAGCTGCTGCCCTCATTTTCCAATTAAGACACTCTGGCTAAAGGTTCAGCTAAACTCCATGGAGTGTGGGTTGGTGTTTTTTTTTTTTTTTTTTTTTGAGACAAGGTCTCTCTCTTGCCCAGGCTGGAGTGCAATGGCCCAATCTCCCCCTCACTGTAATCTCGACCTCCTGGGCTCAGGTGATCCTCCCACCTCAGCCTACCAAGTAGCTGGGACTACAGGCATGTGCCACCACGCCTGGCTAATTTTTTAATTCAAAAAAAAAATTTTTTTTTTTGAGATGAAGTCGCACTCTGTCACCCAGGCTGGAGTGCAGTGGCATGATCTTGGCCCACTACAACCTCCACCTACCAGGTTCAAGCAATTCTCCTGCCTTAGCCTCCTGAGTAGCTGGGATTACAGGTGCCTGCCACCACGCCCAGCTAATTTTTGTAATTTTAGTAGAGATGGGTTTTCACTGTGTTGGCCAGGCTGGTCTCAAATTCCTGATCTTGTGATCCACCTGCCTCAGCATCCCAAAGTGCTGGGATGACAAGCGTGAGCCACCATGCCTGGCCAGTTTTAAATTTTTTTGTACAAATGGGGTTGCAGTATGTTTCCCAGGCTGATCTTTAACTCCTGGGCTTAAACGATCCTCCTGCCTTGGCCCGTCAAAGTGCTGGGATTGCAGGATGAGCCATTGTGCCGGCTGGGGTTTTCCTTGAACTCTTTTTGGCCCTTCCCAGGCGCAGGACCCAGGCCTCAGCTATCTGTTCCTGAACAGCAGTGGGCTCTGTGCTATGCCTCTGGGCCTTGTGGCCAGGCCTCAGACGGAGCCTCAGGTGAAGAAGCAGGCTGAAGGAAAGGCTTGTCATCATCCAGCCTCGGGCCAGGCAGGGCGGCCAGGACAGTAGCAGTGGCTGGCGTGGCTTCCTGGGAGGCCAGCCCACTGGCGTGGCCGGGGAATAGGGAGGGGAGCTCCTCCCCTGTCTCCCCTAATTTCTGGTCTCTGGGCCTTCAGGGGCAAGTCTCCAGAGTTCTAGGTGGAGGATGGAGGTGAGGGGAAGCTGGGGTGAGAGAGGGGGGCCAGGGGATTCTGGAAAACTGTCCTCCCTCACCTGCAGGTCCTGCTTTCCCCAGGGAGTGCATGCTCAGGGCTGGTCCCGGGGAACCAGGCTAATGGTCACCTCGGATGATGCAGGGGCCCATTCCCAGGAAACCACAGAAGCTTTTGCTCCTGGTTCTGTTCTGCCCTCCTGGCTCTTGATTCCAAAGTATGGCTCAGGGTAGCTCTGAATTCCCTGCCAAAATGCAGCTTCCTGGGCCCTAACCTGCCCTCCGGAACCAGGGGCTCTGGGGTGGGCCCACTGCTTGTCTAGCAGCCTCCATGGGAGCCTTCTGCCTGCCAAAGAAAGTCTAATAAACCCTGCTCTAAACCCCCTCATTCCCACAGCCTTCCGGCTTGTCTCCCTTTTCCTGCTAGGATCTGTATCAGGATTAAATGACAATGTCAAGTATCAGGTGAGACTTGTGAACCCTGAGACGATACCTGCATCTTTTTTCTTTTTTTTTTTTTGACAGTCTCACTCTGTGGTCCAGGCTGGAGTGCAGTGGTGCAATCTCCACTCACGGCAATCTTCTGGGTTCAAGTGATTCTCCTGTCTCAGCCTCCCAAGTCGCTGGGACTACAAGCTCTCACCACCACACTTGGCTAATTTTTGTATTTTTAGTAGAGACAGGATTTCACTATATTGGTCAGGCTGGTCTTGAACTCCTGGCCTCAAGCCATCCACCCACCTCAGCTTCCTAAAGTGCTGGGTCTACAGGTGTGAGCTGCTGTGCCTGGCTTCGTACCTGTATCTTGACCAAGCTGCTGTGGAAACATTGAGTTCCCCTTGATCCTTTCATCCACAGAATGAATGTTTAGGAACCAGCCAGGAATCTCCCGCCCCTACCCAGATGGCGGCCTGGAGGCAGTGTTTCTTACCCTGTGATAGGATTTGCTTCTCTTGCCCGAGAGACTTTAGAGATGGGGCCCCTAAATGTGGGGGTCCCTGTTGGGGTGGGAATGGGAGTTGGCCCTGGCCATCGTCCAGTGACCCCATCTCAGTGCCTTGATCCTAGCACCCTCCATCTGAGTGCCTCCCCTTCCCCAGCTCCGTCCGGAGATCACATGGCTTGCGCTGAGTAATCCTCCACCGCCCGCCTCGCGTTCCTGCTGCAGGGAAGCCTTTCCAGGGAGCCAGCTGACACATTTGGCCTCCATTATTTGTTTTTGAACAGGAATGAAAGGAGAGAGTGAGTAAGAAAGTGGCAGGGGTGGGGGGTTGCAGAGTAGAGGAAGGTCAGAGAGAGGGGAGGAAAGATCTGGAAAGTCCAGACATGTGCTTTGGAAACAGGTGCCAGCTATGAGCTCATCTGGAGGGGGCCGCCTGCCCTGAGCCCTGAGCCCTGCCTGGGGCCAGGAGGGAATTCTCTGCCAGGGCATGGTCGCTGGGAGCCTGTCCTTGGCTTACTTTCTGCTGCTTTGAGTGCTGAGCGGATTTGTTTCCATTTTAGGGACAACACAGGGAGGCTGTCATTCCCCCCCCCGCCTTATTAATATTTAATGAATCAGAAATGACCGCTTACTGCATCCTGATGTCCAGGCGCTGGGCTCAAAGCTTTATGTGCTTCATGGGATGTATCCGAACCATCGCCCTGGAAAATGGTTCCTGTTACTACCATAGTGAGGAAGACATCGAGGCACAGAGAGGTTGAGCAACTGGCCCCAGGCCACACAGCTAAAAGCGGCTGACCCTGGCTTTGAGCACAGGGCTGCTTGACTCCAAAGCCTGAGCTGGTTTACAGGGAAGGGGCTTAACGAGGTGCAAGGGGTACAGGGAACAAAGTCCAGCTTGCTTGGGCCCAGCACCTTGACCTTCAAGGTGCCTCTTGAGAGTGGCATGAGGCTGCTCATTAAGTTCTCAGTCCCCACCACCCCCAGTGACTCTGTTCCTGTGAGGGCCTCATGGGTCTCTTGCTTTGTTCCGGGGGCCTTGCTGTTCAGGATCACAGAGAAGCTCTTTGCTGTGGATCTTTCTGCCTCTGTATCTTTTGGCAAGCCATTTTATGACTCAGTTGCTTTGTCTGTAACATGGGTGAATAACGTTGTCCTGCCTTGGAGGGTTTTTGGGAGAATGAAATGAGACATGTTGCACAAAAGTCCTTTGTAAGCCACGCTGACTAGCGGTTTGCCGGACCCCCAAGTGAATGGGCATCCAGGCGCTGAGTGTGAGGACTCAGCACTCGGAAGGAGGGGCTGGAGGATGCCCAGAACTCCTCGGAGGCTTGGACCCCTGCTCCGCTCAGATTCTGAGCTGTTTCTTGGCCAGCTGAGATTCCTGTCGTAGGGTGAGGGTAACTAGCACTTACGTAGTTTGGGCCAAGTTTAGTGACCATGTGTGGAAGTCTAGCGTCCCTCGTGCAAAGTGGGCAGGCAGCCAAAGTGAGCTCTGCTCCAGTCCCCCCATCCCCGGGCTGTTCCTGGCGCCTGCCCTGCCCTCCCCCAGAGCCCCACTGACCTGCACCATGTGACCCGGGCCTGGGAAGATGGGCCCAGCTGTGGGAGGTCGTGTGGGCTGGGGACTGAGAGTGCTGGAGGAGGGCCTCCCAGGAAAACCCAGCTGCACAGGAAGCTGGGCCAGTGGCCCCTGGAAGCCTCTGGGCTTTGCAAGCTGGACTCCCAGGACCTGCGTCTGTGGGGCCCTCTCCTGCCTGCAGCTGAGAGTCCTTGACCCTGTACTTGAGGGCCTCAGAGGTCCAGGAGGGGGAATGTGACTATGTCCCCAGGGTGCAGCCCACCCGAGTACCACTCTGGTTGCAGCCTTCACCTCTTCCTGGCCTCCTCTCTGGCCAAAGGGATGCTGCTTGAGGGGTTCCCTTATATTGGAGGGAGTTTCAGTTGAGCTGGTGGGCCCCACAAATCCCCAAGGCCACCTGACTTCCAGCCTTCAAGTGGGGCTGCATCCACCACTCAGGGCCTGGAGCCTCAGCCAGAGAGGGACCCTCCACTGCGTCTTCCTCTGTCTCTTGGGAAAGGTAGGGTCCTTGTACCCCTTCCCCCAGGGACCTGGCACACACATGCTGGAAGGCTAAGAGGAAGCTGCCCACCCTCTCATCTACCCACTGCCCTCCCAGCCAACAGAGTTTTACCTGTGTGCCTAGAATCTGTGCATGGAGCCAGAAGTCACAGGGTTGGCCTGGCTATGTCCACCCTGGGCATGTGATCCTGAACAGTCCCAGCCCTCCTGGAGCTGAGGGTCTGATCTGATCTGTAAGAGGAGAGGCTGCTGTGCGGCTCTGCAGGGCTCTGTGCAGAGGAGTGTGCACGGCTGTGAATTCAGGCTCTGCCCTCAGACAGGCAGAGGGGATTGGAACAGTGGGTCAGGATGAGCAGAGGGTCCCAGCCCCAGAAGGAGGCCTCCACCCTTCCCAGCACCTCTACACCAGGGAATGCAGCCAGGTCCCCAGGCCTCCCATCTCAGGAAGCAGCATCCTGCCCCACTGCCTCTAGTTGCTGGGGTCTGAGAAGTTGAGGATTCCTCCTGAATCGGAGTCCCCTCTGACTCCTGCTTGGGCGGTTGTCCCTCCTGAAGGGACCATCTACCCCACTCTGCCCCCTGCAGTCTGCCCCGCAGGGTAGCCAGTGAGTCCCCTGTGCAGCACACCGCCCCCAGGAGCACTGCCTGGGATGATGGTGTAAAGGGTGCCCCCCGAGGTAGGCAGGGTCACAACAGTGTGAGCCTGGATGGAGAATCTGTTCAGATCACTCCCCAGCCTAAACCCTCCCTAGGCGCCTGCTGTACTTGGGGCGCTGACTCCTTTGGGGCAGCCCGTGAGATGCTACATCATGTGGCCACCCCTCTCAGCCCTTGCTCACCGCACCGGCCCCTGACCTGGCTGCCTCTGGGACATGAGGGCTTATCCTCACGGAAGAATGTCCACTTGTTCCCTCCTGGGAAGTCCCTCCCCAGATGTCCTGGCTGCCTCATGCAGGTCTTGCTGAAGCGCCGCCCTCTTGGAGAGGCCTCCCTGTCACGGCAGTTAAAGCAGCCCTCCCAGGCCTGCGGGTGGCTTTCTGTGGGGCATGGATGAGCACTGGAGAGTCTTGCTGTTTGTTTGTTCACCTGCCCTCTTAGGGGGACAGGCAGGGGACACTGACTTGTGCTGTGGGTACCTTGCATGTCATGGGTGCTCAGTGGATGCCTGTTGAGCACTAGGGGAGCACAGAGTGGGGAAGCCTCTGTCCAACTGGAGCAGCCAGAGAAGACTTCCTGGAGGAAGTGGTTCTGGTGGACTTAGAATGTGGAGGTTTGTCTGTATGCAGACATTAGGTTAGAGGGCAGAGGGACATTATTATAACTTAGCAAACAGCCACAAGCAACTAAGGCATTGCTATGACACGGACTGCCTGTGGTTGGAGCTAAGAAGGAGTCAGAGAGGTCCCTGTGCTCTGGAGTCCTCGGAGGGGGAGCTCCCAGAATGCGGGGCTGCCTGTGCAGAGGCCGGAGGTGGGAGTCATACCTGTGAGTGCAGGTGAGTGTGAGGTGAGCCACTGAGGCTGGATGAGAAGATCAGAAGATGGGAATCCCTAAACCCACTGACCAACCTTGGTGCCCTCGGAGTGACAGGAGATGGGTTTTTTGTTTTTGTTGTTGAGATGGAGTTTTACTCTTTTGCCCAGTCTGGAGCACAGTGGTGCCATCTCAGCTGACTGCAACCTCTGCCTTCTGGTTTCAAGTGATTCTCCTGTCTCAGCCTCCTGAGTAGCTGGGATTACAAGTGCCCGCCACCATACCCGGCTAATGTTTGTATTTTTAGTAGAGATGGGGTTTCACCATGTTAGCCAGGCTGGTTTCGAACTCCTGACCTTGTGATCTGCCCAACTTGGCCCCCCAAAGTGCTGGGATTACAGGCATGAGCCACCACACCTGGCCAGGAGATGGGGTTTCTAGGGGACTAATCCAAGGTAGACGAGATAGGATGCAGGGGAGGGGACAGAGCTCTGAGGCTTTGGGAAGCTGAGTTAGGGTAGAGCCATGACAGGGCAAGTTCCAGAAGCAATCCAAGGAAAAAATAGCTGGACTGGGTTCTCCCTTCACTGCGGGAGGCACCCCACCTCACTTCCCCCGTCTGCCTAGGCCCATTTGCCTTGTTTTCATTTGATTCATTTATTGTCACCACTGCCATCCTTGCATCACATAACTGGCTTTTCCCAGCATGCCAGCCACCAAGCTGGGTCTTCCGCGCATCTCCTGTAACCCTCACGGCAACCCGGGAGGCACAGAGGGGCTGCGTCGCTGGCCCATAGTCACACAGCAGGTATGGGGCATTGCCGGGATTTAGCCGGATCTCTGACTCCAGGGTCTTTACAGGGCCATTGGGTGGGAGCCTGGCAAAGAAGCAAGGTATGAGGACTGGTCCCGCCTTGGACGGAGCTCAGGGAGGGAGGCCTGGCAGGCCCAGCTGACACGGTGACCCTGGGGCAGGCTCAACCATTGGCAAAGTGTTCAGGTGCACACAGAATCTTAACTGGGGAGACAGGCACAGTGGCCAACGGTGGACTGTGAGTGACAGGTGGGCGCTGTACCTACTGGCAAACCAGCTGACCGTGGCGCCTTCTGGAGCCTTTCAACCTCCTTATCCAGAAAAAGGGGAACTAACAGCCCCACCCCCACACTGGGTTGGGGTACCACTTCGAAACTGAAGGAAAGCTTGTCCACGTCACAGGCTCAGCAGATGTTAGCTGTGCAGGCAACTTAGTGACCCTTTGAAGTAGGCTGTGCGGCTGCATCCTCATTTTGCAGGTGTAGCCCAGGCATTAGCTCGGGGTCACACAGCGACAGCTCAGGCTACAGAGAGCAGTGCTGGATGGGAGGGTGCTGGCAGCTTCAGGCACAGACTGGGAGGGCTGTGGGGTTAGCAAGGAGGGCGCATTTCCCAGTTGGTGGGGTTCACGTGTGTCTCAGTACCCGTGTGGGCCCAAAGGAGATGGAAGGAGGGGGGTCACAGCCACCCATGGGTTCGGATGCTGATAAGCAAGTTATTTGCTCTGAATTTGGCTCATTGTATGTAAATTGGGGACAAATTTGGGGGTTTAATGGGATAATGTAAAAAGCAGATGTGTCGCAGCCCTGGGTATACAGTTAATGTATAATAAGTAGTAAGTCCTGGAGGGGGCAGCTGGCGGGAATGGGGGCATTTCAGCAGCCCTGTACCCCCTGCTCCTGGTTGCAGATGTGCATGTTCGTGGCTGTTTGTGCCCCAGCTTCATGTCCTCCAGTGTGTGTGAGGCTGAGTTCCTGGGGCGGGGGCTGGGGGCTGTGTCTGCAGTTCCTGAGGCCAAGGCCCAGCCTGAGGTTGAAGCCGCCTTGGTGAGGAGGAAATTGCAGGTGGAGAAGCTCCCTGACCGTGACCTTGATCCGAACATGATCTTCATGGTGCGGATGCCGTCAGTACTCAGGCCTCCTGCCCTCGCCACAACTGGCTCCTGCAGCCCACCTGGCTGAGAGGTGTGTGGGCTCCCACAGGCTTCGAGATGGGGGCATCACCAGCTGCCTGGGCCACAGCGTTCTTGCCAATTGTTGGTGGAGGGACTGAGGGCTGATTGTGTCATGGGGGTGTTGGCACAGAATCAGAGGGGCCATCCAAAAAGGCCAAGAATCCAGCGGGGAGATGGGGCGGGAGGCTGCTTCTCTGTTTTCTGGGCTGTGATGGAAAGGGGACAGGGGACACATTTGGGGACAGTCTCCTTCCTGGAGGAGGAAGGGCTTGGGATGCTGGTGTGGTGTTTGCGGGGATGGGGATAATGAGCTGGAGGGTGCTGGGTAGGAGCCGGCCAGAAGTGGGCTGACGAGGGAGGCCCTGCTGGCCAGGCCTGGTTTTCAAGCGAAAACCAGGATCCCGAGCTGTGGGGACTGCAGGGGTTTTAGAGACCTGGGAGCTGAGACCTGGGTCCACAGAGGGGTGGGCTGTGCTCAGAGCCGCACAGTGGCTTCTGGCCCCTACATTGCGCGCCAGGGCCTGGCGTTTGCCTCCGGAGTGGCTGGCCATCTTGGTAGTGCTGATTGCTGCTGGAGCGAGGATCACTCATCAGTCAGGCCTTGCCACGTGGCGCCATTACCATGTTTTGCAGAAGTGGAGACGCCTGCCTGGGGCTGTCCTGGCATGGTGCGAATACCTGAGCTCAGGCTGAGGGCCCAGGGGCCTTGCAGGCATGAGGAAGCTCACTTCCTGGGCGTGCCTTCTGGACCCAGGCCTGGAGCCACTCAAGGGCTAGCCCCCAGGGTGGGGCAGATAGGGGAAGGGGGTTCACCAGGTTGAACCCTGGCTTTTTGTGGGGACGGAATAAGGTATCTTCTCGAAGAGCACTCACACTGTGGATGTGCCCTGCAGGCCCGTCTGAGTGGTCCGTACCAGCCTGGAGTGGTGATGGTCACTAGGGCAGTGGGCAAAACCTGTCCCTGTGCCCCTCTTTCTCCTGCTGCAGAACTGTGTCCCCTCCAGCTCATGGCTGTCAAATCCTTTATGTGCTTCTGGGTTCCCCTGGTGCCTTACATTGTCTTCCCTGGAGGACAGCAGACCCTGGGGGTTGGCTCTGCTGGGATTCACCGTGCGGTGCCCCAGGCAATCACAGCACATTCTGTGGAGCAGGCCTGCGTCCTGCCAGCCTCATTTTGTGGCCAGAGGAAGGGGACAGTGGTTCTGGAGGCAGGAGCTGGCCTGAGGCTGCCCTCCCAGCCCCCTGTTCTCCCAGCGCATCTCCTTGTTTTAGGGGTGCTGGCCACCCTACCCCGCCAGCTCCACCCAAGCTTCCTCTGCCCAAGTCAGGACCAGTCAGTAGGGGGCAGTGAAGGCCTTGAAAGTCCTTAGAGAGGACTTTGAAGCAGTTTTTACAAATCTGTCCCTGGAAAGTCTCTCCTATCACACCCCAGTGGCTCCTTCCCCGCTAACATTTTTCCTGGGGTTGTCATGTGGCAGGGGGTGGAGGAACCTACCAGGCCATGGACAGAGAAGAGCTGTGTTGACACAAACCCTGGCTGAACCCACATGTGCCCTACAGCTAGCAGCTGATCACTGGAACCAGGGAAGTGACCTCACAGCATGGGCCCACAGAACAGCCACCACGCATTCCTGATCTTGGTTTCTGGACCCAGCTCTGGAAAAGGAGCCGGATCCCAGCCACTTGGAGCTGCCCAGGGAAGACCCCAGCCCGGTACCTGCTGACAGCTCATTGGAACTTTTCATCTGCTTCGCCAGGCGTTGCCAAGGGGTAGAGGTCAGAACTGCTAAGAGGCATCTATCTTCCTGATTGAAAAGCAACCTTTGCTAGGTGTGGTGGCTCACGCCTGCAGTCCCTGCTTTGGGAGGCCGAGGTGGGAGAATTGTTTGAGGCCAGGCATTTGAGACCAGTCTGGGCAACATAGTAAGACCCCCATTTCTACAAAAACTGAAAAAAAAAAGAAGCTCCAGGTGTGGTGGCACTTCCCTGTAGTCCCAGCTCCTCAGGAGGCTGAGGTGGGAAGATTGCTTGAGTCCAGGAGTTCGAGGCTGCAGTGAGCTATGACCACACCACTGTCTCCAGCTCCTGGGTGACAGGGTGAGACCCTGTCCCAAAAACAAAACACAGAAAAACAAAAAAAAAAAACTTTATCTTTTGTGATTTTGAAAATCACACCTACCTGTGACAAAAAAATTAAATTAGAAAATGTAAAGGAAATAATAATAATTGAATCCTCCAGACAAGCACTATTACATTGGCGTTTCCTTCCCGCCTTTTTTACATATGTGCATAATACTCACTAGTCTATTTTGAACTAAACATGGTTCTCCCTGCTTTGTATGAGAGCCGCCTCAGCCAGTGGTCCATACCTGTAATCCCAGCACTTTGGAAGGCTGATGCAGGCAGATTGCTTGGGCCCAGGACTTTGAGACCAGTCTGGGCAACATGGCGAAACTCCATCTCTGCAAAAAATGCATTAGCTGTGTATGGTGGCACATGCCTGTGGTCCCAGCTCCTTGGGAGGCTGAAGCAGGAGAATAGCTTGAGCCCAGGAGGTGGAGGTTGCAGCGAGCTAAGATCGTGACACTGTACTCCAGCCTGTGTGACGGGAGTGAGATGCTGTCTCAAAAAAACAAACAGACAGAGTGCCACCTTGTCACCTCTCAGGGATGTTCGTCCTCTCCACTTTCCACCCAGGTCTTTCCTTATAAAAGGATGAGGCCAAACAGTCATAGGAGGGTGCTCCTGGGTGTTCAAAAAAGCGTCTCGTGGCTGGTGGGTCTTGGAAACAGGTTGGGGAGGTTTCAGCAGAGGGTAGACCCCAGCTGGGGGTCAGGGCAGCAGGGAGGCCCCTCACATGCTCTCTCTGTGTGTTTCATGGGCTGCCCGTAAGGCCGTAGGAACTAGAGCCCCGCTGGGAAGCCACCTACTACCCGGACTCCATGACTCTTCCTGGCAGCGCGGCCCTGGCCAGTATGCTCGCCTGTGTTCCCCTCTGTAAAATGGGCTAATAGACATGCTCACTTGAGAGCCATGATGAGAAACGAAGTGCTTACGGAGCAAAGTGTGTGGAATAACCATGGTGGCGCCGGCTGCTTTTCCTGTTTTCCCTCGTCCCTGCTGCCTTCCTCCCTCTGTTGGCTCTCCTTCACTTGTTCGTTTATTCATGGCCGAAGCCGCCTCTGTGCCAGGCCTGGTGCTGAGAACCAGGGGTAGAGAGGTGAGGGCTATGTCCGCTCCCTGACCCGAGGGTTCCCATTGCAAGGTGAGGTTCTTGGAGACTGGACCCCCAGGCTGTTCCACCAGCCCCTCCTCAGGCCAGCTTAACCCTTCCCTGCCTGCTTTCCAATGTGTTGGAGGAGGAGAGTGGGAGGAAGGATGGAGTGGGTTGAGTGAGGGCTGTGGGGGCGCTGGCGGTGCGTGCGGCTTGGAAATGGTGCCTGGTGCTCACTCAGCATGAGCTTTTGTTGCAGTTGCTGTCCTGAGAATATTCTTGGATTTCAGGACACTGACAACTGAGGGGGGAACGCTTTTTCTGGAAGCCATCCAGAGGGGACCGCCGTGGCAGCCGAGCAGACTTGCTGACTTGTGAGCTGTGGCCTGACCAGTCACCGTTCTCATGAGGGAGGCCCCCTGCAGTCCCCTCCCGGGAATTTCTGTCCCCTTGGCAGGGGGCAGTTCAGGGCTGGGGTGGGTGGCTGTGTCAACAAGCGCTGATTCTTGGAGTCAGAGAATCCCCTGTCGCCCGTTGGGGGCGTTCTCTCCTGCCCCTCCCATCCCACTGTGCTCTCAGCTGCTCCAACAGGATGCTTTTGGCTGGAGTGACAGAAAACTCAACTCAGCCCTCAAGAGAATTGAGGTTTTTTTTGTGCAAAATGAGATGCTCTGAGCATTGGGATGCTGTGGAGGAGCCTCCATCCCACCATCCCCAGCCGTGGTGTCCCCCTCGGTCTCAGGATGCTGCAGCCACGTTCTAGGGAAGGAGAGCGTCCCTTCCTGTGAGCCGGGAGGCCCCTCTGCACAGGCAGCCTCTTCACTGCCCATTGTCTGAGGCCTGACCTGGAGACTCCGGCCCCAAGGAGCAGAAAGAGGGTTTGCTAGGTCAGGGCAGGGCTGGGTGCAGGAGCCCCCACGGGGTCTGTTCAGGTGTCCCTCCTGTGGGGGGGAAAGGGCAGCAAGGAAAAGACCCACACAGGGCAGCGGGACACGGAGAGGCTTTTGTGCCTGTGGCGGTCAGAAGGGATGATGCCCTAGCCGAATTCCCACCCAACCCAGGCCCAGCATAGGCACGCTGGAAATAGCAGCATCACCCCTGCACTGTCCCGGCTCGCTTCGGAGAGGCCAGAGGGGTAGGGCTGGAGCAGGGTCTGACCTCTGGCCTGTGGACAGGCTATGAGTGAGTCTGCAGAGGAAGAGAGATGGGGAGGCTGGGACCTTCCCCTGCACCTCCTGAACCCCCGTTCCCTGTGAGTCAGACAGGGAGTGCGTCCCTGCCCCCTCCTTCAGGGTATCCCAGCCCAGCCCACCCCAGGCACTTGATGTTGCCTGTTCCTTTTCCTTCCCTGCCCCTCCCACCAGCCCTTCCCATATGGTCCTAATTAAGTCCTTCCCCCCATTGGTGGACAGGCAGGGAGGGGAGCTTGCCGTGGGGCCTCCTGCAATCAGGGGACTTCCCAGCACAGAGTTTTCTGGCGTCGACAGTAAGACGCTGTGTGCCTGCACGTGTCTGCTGTGTTAGAAGCGCTAAGCTGCAGCTGTTTGTACGTTTTTCACGTCTCTCAATTGTCAAAGGCCCTGGGCTTGGTGTGTGTGGACTGGTGATCCGTGTTGGGGTCTCCAGGAGGCCCGTGGTGGGAGAGGCAGGGCCTCTTCCCCTTCAGTCTGGGCAGCCTCGCTTTGGCCTGCTGTCCATGGAAAGTGCCCAAGAATATGGCCAAGCAGCCTGGTGGCAAGACTGGCTGGGGCTCTGGCTCCAGCCCCGGCCCAGGCCCTGGCCCTGTCAGACTTACCCTCCCTGTGCCTCTGTTCACCCTGTCTGCATGCAGGGCCCGCAGGAGTGTCCCGAGAGGTGGTAGGGTGGCCTGCCTGGCGCCCGCACGGGGTCTGGGTGGGTTGCCGAGGCTGCTGTGAGGTGTCCATGGCTCCCTCGTCCTGCCCGGCCTTCCTCTGGCATGTGTTGTCTCGCTGGCACGTGAGCCCACACTGGCTCTGAGTCTGCAGCCTGTTTTCCTCACCAGGTGGCAGGCAGGGTGGACCCCACTGGCCTGCAGGGAACCCTCTGTGGGCTGCAGGCGGCCCCTTGTGGTTCCAGGTACCCTGGTGGGACCAGCACCATGACCCCCATCGAAGCCCACATCTAAGGCGTTTGTGGGCACCACCGTCTTGGACATGAGGGTTGGCATTTGCTCTTGCACGTGAAGCAAAGGCCTGTTTGGAGGAGGGCATGGAAGCGTGGGTGTGATGAAGACAAGGACCCGTGGCTCACCCCCTCTTGTGCCTGGGCCTTGGGTGGCAGGCCTGGGGCCTCCGGTCCTTAATTCAGGAGGGTAGCCAGTCGCTGGAACTAAGAGTGAACTCCAGCTATTGTTGCCATGGCTGGAGTGAAGAGGGGAAAGGAGGGGCTGCAGGGGGGCAGAGACATTCACCCTCCCTCTGCTGGGCATCAGGCTGCTGGTGCTGGACTGGGCCCCAGCAACCATAGCAGCAGTGGTGGTGCTGATGACAGTGGCAAGGGCCTCCTGCGGACCCTGGGCTCTCTTAAGGGCTCTTTATCTGGAGTAAGTATCCCATTTTATCCTCCCAACTACACTGTGAAATGGATTCTGTTGTTATTCCCATTTCACTGATGAGGAACTCACAGCCCAGGGATGTCAAGTAACTTGCCCAGGCCTCCCCCAGAGTATGGCAGAGGGAGGGTCTGAGTTCGGAAAGTGCCCCCGTCCCTAACCACTGTCATTTACCTCTTCCGCCAGCCCTCTGATTGGCAAACCTGAGGCCTGGAGAAGTGCAGTGACTGGGCCAGCTCTGCATGGCAGGTTAGTGGTAGAGCTGAGCAGTGTCTCCTGTGCCCTGGCTCTGCGGCCTCTTGAGGTGGCTCACTCACTAAACATGCCCCACGAGGTGGCTCTGTTTCCTTCTTTCCTCTGAACCCGCCAGCCCATGCTCAGACAGGGAGAAGTGGAGCGACAATGCTGGGCAGGTCATCGTGCCCCAGTGCCGCTTGCCCTATGCTTGGTTGGCAGCAGAGTGGCCCCTTCTTGGGGTGGTCTGGAGGTGCCAGTGGCCACTTATCAGCACAGATCAGTCTCATATGTGTCACTCCCAAAGGATGTTGACAGAACAAAGCAGCTGGGGGAGGCGGACGCCTTGGCATGAGGGTGGTGCTCCTGGTAATCTGTAGTGCTGGCAACGGTGGCTGCCTTTGTCCAGCATCTTACCTCCTCCTGGCCGTCTTGCAACCACCTGAGGGAGGTCAGCGTGTCACCTTCATCTAGGGACTGTGTGAACACAGCAGCACACGCTTGTCAGCGCCACACTGCGGGATCTGGATGCCTTTGCTCCTGAGCCCCGCCTCTTTGTAACCCTTAAAGCAGGGACCTCTTAGGGGCTTCTGTTCCTCCACCTGCAAAAATCTTATACTGTTAAGGGCATGGCTCGGGGCTGGAGCATGGAGATGTTGCTGGAGGATGGAGGGAGAACTGAGCACGTGTTCTCTTGGCCTCAGCCCCTTGTGCGTGTTTATGTGCGGGTGCTTTGCTGTCCACACTGGGTTCCACAGCTGGGTGGGAGTGGAGTTCTGCTCGATGGCTGCCTTTCCACCCTGCAGGGCTGGTTGAGGAGTGTGAGGATGCCTGCCGGAAGCCGACACGCACGAAGGAGTTAATGGTGGATCCCGTTTCCTCGTGCCTCTCTCCAGCTTTCCCAGGGAAAGGGCAGGAACAGGGAGGCCTTATCTTCAGAGGAAGTGGTGGGCAGGGACGCCGTGCTCCTCTGCACTGGCCCCTCGAAGCCACCCTGTGTACTTCATTCCACCGGCTTCTTCAGCCCAGCTGTTTAGAGCGGATCCAGAAGGTGGAGAGAGGGTTTCCGATAAGCAGAGGATGGAGTGAATGTGAGATTCATTACTGGGATTTGGCAAAGCAAAGAGCCTCACTTTCTTCCTGCAGATGGGACGGGGGTGGGGCTGGAGCCAGCGGGGTGGCGGCATCCAGCAAGAGCCCCTTCCCATCCTCCCACTGCTGGAACACCCAGGCCTGCTTCCTCTGCCACGCCTCCTCCTCTGTGCAGAACCTCAGCCTGGAATGATCACGTGTCCAGCTTTCCTCCGCCCCTCCTGCCCCGATGAAGGGAGTGGTCTGGCCCCTGGCCCCTGCCACCTACACCTCCTGTTTTGCTGCACTGGCCTCTTGGTGAGGGCTGCAGCAGAGGTGGGCAAAAGCCATTTCCGGGCCGCCAGCCCCCATCCTGTGAGTGACTAAAAGTCCTTGGGGTGGTCCTGCAGGGTGAGCCAAGCATCCTGGCCCTGGTGAGGACACCCAGGAGAGGGCCAGAGTGGCTCTGTGTGGGGCGCAGCATAAAGAACAGCCCTAAGTGGTTCCTAGGCAAGAGGCTGCAGGGGCATTGGGAGGCTGGGTTTTAGGAGCGTTGTGTGCGGTGGTGAGTGGAAGACGCAGGACACAGATTCACACCATCGTGCAGATCCGCTGGCCTCACTCCCTCAGTTTACTGAGGAGGAAACTAGAGGCCCAGAGAGGTGGAGTGAGTTCCCCAGGGCCACACAGCCCAGCCAGGCCCAGGGCGCAGACCTCCTGCTCTGCCTTCCCGTGGCCATTCGGTTGGCATCAGCATCCCTGCCTTAACACCCCCGTGTGGCAGCTGCTGCGATTCTGACTCAGCACCTCCTCACCCCACCCTGTGGGGCCCTGAGAGGGAAACAAGAAGCCCCATGCAGAAGTGGTTGGAAAACAAGAAGCCTGGAGAGAAGGGAGGCCTCTGCGGTTTGGCCTGTGTTCAGGACTCATGGCCTGGTTCCCAGGGATGACCCCTCCCTTCTACGCCCCCCACCCCACGCCCCCAGGAGCTCCCTGTGGGGAAGCAGAATGACCTGGGCTCAGAGATTGCACATTCATCTCGCTGGGTATGTGGCTGTAACCACCTTCTCATGGAGGAGCCAGGGGGCGGCTCTATGTACTTTGGGCTCCCTCAGTGAGATGGGAGGACCTCGGGAGGTCAGGAGGCCGCCCAAGACCTGCCGCCCATCAGGGACCAGGTGAGGGGTTGGTGGCCACCCTGGCCTCCTGATGATTCTGGTAGGGAGACCACAGAGGCTCCGCCCTTCACCATCTCCAGTGGCCCTGGCCTGCCCAGTCATTCTTCTGGGATGGCCAAATTCCATGCCGCAAAAGCCCACGTGAACCCTGGAAGTGGCCTAGGAGAATGATGTGTCAGGAGCGCAGAATGCAACTTCTGGAGAGGACTCTTTGCTGCCCCACAACACCTTTTTCGTGCGTTGTCCTGGGGTCCCTCTCCCTGTGGGACAGTAAGGGGCTTCCGGAAGCTTCTCCCTGGCCCCAGGCCAGAGGTGACAATGAGGGCCCCTTGCTTGCACTGGTGACTGTGGCTGGTTGGTGGTGCCTGGCCCTGCCACACGCTGCGCACCCCTCGAAGGTGGCATCACCTGGGCCTCTCCGGTGGCTGCGTGTGGGTGAGCACCCTGTGTCGCATCTGCTTGCAGCATCGTGTGGGGTGGGATTTTCAGAGGGTCTGGGGGCCTGGATGGCCCTGCAGGGGGTGCTCCTGGCCTTGTGACCAAAAGGAGCTACAGGTTTGGAGAAGCTGTTGGGCTGAGGTCAGTTCTTATAAGATTTGGTGATAAGGCCGGGTGCGGTGGCTCAAGCCTGTAATCCCAGCACTTTGGGAGGCCGAGGCAGGTGGATCACGAGGTCAAGAGATTGAGACCATCCTGGTCAACATGGTGAAACCCTGTCTCTACTAAAAATACAAAAAAACTTAGCTGGGCATGGTGGCGTGTGCCTGTAATCCCAGCTACTCAGGAGGCTGAGGCAGGAGAATTGCCTGAACCCAGGGGGCGGAGGTTGCGGTGAGCTGAGATCGCTCCATTGCACTCCAGCCTGGGTAACAACAGCGAAACTCTGTCTCAAAAAAAAAAAAAGATTTGGTGATGAGGGAACAGATGCTCACGGAGCTGTTCACGTGCCGGGCGTTGCTCCAAGCGCTGTGCACACCACCTCACTCTGCGCTGACAGCCAAGAGGCTGGCTCCCTACTCCATTATACAGATAATGCGCTCCCCCAGTTCCTTAGCTGTGGAGCCAGGATTTGAACCCAAGCAGGCAGCTGCCTGGGCCTGCAGTCCCACCCTTCATCTCCCTCCGGGACCTGGGTCTTGGGGTTGGCAGGATAATGACTCCCAGAGGTGTGTACATCCTAATCACCAGCACCTGGGCCCATGTGAGGTGACATGGCAGGGCCAGTTCAGGTCGCTAATCAGCTGTTCTTAAAATAGGGAGATGATCCTGGATAATCCACATGGGCCCATTGTCATCACCAGAGTTTTCAAAAGCACATTGGACAGTCTGAGTGGGGCAGTGGGAGAGAGGCTTGGAAGGAGGGAGGAGGCCACAAGCCAAGAATTATGGAAGGGCAGAAAATGCAGGAAAACACGTTCTCCCTACAGCCTCAGGAGGGTGCGCAGTCCTGTGGACACCTTCCCTGTAGCCTAGTATGGTGTGGGGTGGGACAAATCTGTGTTGTCTGATGTCACAAGAGTGTGTGGTCATTTGCTATAGCAGTGGTGGAAAGCGAATGCCATTAGACAGTGGTGCTCCTGTCCTGGAAGAACTGGGAGAAATTCCCCTGTGGATCTCAAGCTCTAGAAGATTCTGGGCTCCTCTGGACTTATCCAGCTCCGCAATCATAGGAAAGGTCTCCCATGTCTATTTGGGGGAAAAAAACATAGCAAAATCATTTCCCCTTTTGACAAATGAAGGTGAGGGTGTGGGCTGGGCGCATGCTTCCTTTTCGTGTTTTGTTTTTTTTTTTTTTTAAACACTTAGAATTCTGTAGCTGAAGGAGACTACAAGGTTTTGTCTGCCTGATTTGCAAGTGAGGAAACGGAGGCCCGGGGAAGTTAAGAGACTGACTGGCCCAGGGTCATGCAAAGCCATGCCGGTGTATCCAGCCAGATATCCCAGCTCTGCTCAGAGTGCTTTCTTCCGTGGTGGGGAGGAGGGCTGGAGGGAGTGGCCCCCGAGTGAGTGGCAGCGTTGGCAATGGCTGGAAGAGTAACCGCGGTGCCTGAGCCTGGGGCCTCTGGCCACTTCCTGCAGGAACCAGGTGACCCGCCACTGTACAGGCCTCTCCCTGTCTATCTGCAGCCCTGAGGGCCCCAGGGACCTGAGGACACTCTGGCCTGAGGGCTGGAGGCTGAGAGAAGAGGTGGAAGTGCCCCTAGTCCGGCCTGCCCACCCTGGCCTCCTGCAGGCGACTCTGGCAGCCCAGGGCTCCTAGAGACCCTGGCCGGTGGGAGTTCCCACCTTTCCCCAGCGACTCCCTAGGCCAGCAGCTTGCAGGAGTTGACATTTTGCCTGTGGTTCTGAAACAGTCATTTTCTGAGCCGAGTGGGGATCAGGTGAGCAGATCCCCACACCTTAACTGCTGCCATCTTTCTGTCCTGGGGGCTGGCGGGCAGCCCAGATGGTGCTTCATGGCACTTTATGACTGTCCTCGTCACCAGGCTGGTGAGTTGCCCCCCTCCTCTCGGGCATCCTGAACGGCTTTCCTGGGAGCCCCATCTCCAGGCCTTGGCATCTGCAGGCCTGTGCCTGCAGTGCCTCTTTCCCCTGGAAGCTGGGCCTCTTTGGGAACTCACTGAGAAGGGCCCTGCCGAGCGCTGCCAAATGGCCCCATCTGGTCCCCATTTGTTCCACTTACCACCCTATTTTAACTTTTCTGTCTCCTCCTTGGGTCTAAGATCTGAGCCGGCAGGGCTTTGTCTGTGAGGCACCCCAGGCCCCCTGATGCTCCCTGCACCCAGGGGACTCTTAGTACATATGCAGGGAGGGAAGGATTGAGGGAAGAGATGGCGTGGGAAATCCTTCAGTTCCCATTTGTAACCAACATATTGTGATGCAACACTCATGGCATTTTACCTTTTTCATATACCTTAAAAAAATTATTTATTTATTTATATTTCTTTTTTGAGATGGAGCCTCACTCCATCACCCAGGCTGGAGTGCAGTGGCACGATCTTGACTCACTGCAACCTCCACTTCCCAGGTTCAAGAGATTCTCCTGCTTCAGCCTCCCAGGTACCTGGGATTATAGGCGCCCACCACCATGCCCGGTGAATTTTTGTATTTTTAGTAGAGATGGGGTTTCTCTCGAACTCCCAACTCCAGGCCATCCTCCTGACTCCAGGCGATCCACCCGCCTCAGCCTCCCAAAGTTCTGGGATTCCAAGCGTGAGCCACATCGCCTGGCCTTCATGCACCTTTAAGAGAGAACTTGCTCAGAAGATCTTCTAGATGCACCTTTAGGGTTTTAAGGCACAGACACATGGAACTCATCGTCAGCAGCTGCTGCTTATTCCTTTTTCACTTCCAACTCAGAGCAGCCTGTGTCCCAAGTGGACAGCTGCTCGCTTCCTCTCGGCTCCCTGCCATTCATGCTCCCGCAGATGCAGGAAGGAGGTGCGGGATCATCCACTGGGCGCCCGCACGGTGCCGTCTGCACAGGTGCCATCTCCTTTACTTGCCAGTCTCCTCAATGAGCCCTTCCCCTTTTTGCAGGTGAGAGCACTGCCTCCCAGAGGTAAAGACATGTGCCCAGAGCCACCCAGCTGATCAGGGTGCAGCCAGATTTGAACGCCATCCTGCTGATCTCCATACCTGCAGGCCTGGTCCAATGAGATGGACAGTGGGTGGTGGAGGCTGTGAGACCCTGGATGGCTCCCTAATAGGGCCTGTAGCTCCTGAACAGGGAGGGTGTGGCACAAAGGGACGCCCGGGTTTGTGGACTGAGCTGGAGGGGAAGGTGGCTTAGGGTCCCTGTCTCTGAACAAATAGATGGAGGGACTATTCCAGTATCTTCTCAGCCTCTGATGTCCTGGGATCCTGGTTCTGGGAGGAGAGAATGGAGAAGAGAGAGCTGGGCTGGGCTGGTTTGGTCCCAACAAACAAGCTTCTTGGTTTGCCATGAGTGACAGTTTCGCCCATCCCATGTCTCTGCCAAAAACATGAAGGGTTTACACCCCTCACCCTGGCCTGCTTCCCTCCCAGGCTAGGAGTGGGTCTGGGACAGAACAGTCTCACGCCAGATACCCCGAGCAGCCGCCAATGCCATCAGGCCTCAGGCCTGACACCCAGGCTCCTGCCCCAGAGGGAAAAACAAGGCCCTCTTTGGGGGTTTTCTGCCAGGTTGTGAAAACAGGCCTGGAGTCGGCTGGCTACCCCCACGCTTAGATGCTTTGTGTGGTTTTCAAAGTGCTTCTACGTCGCTAGCTCACATGATTGTCCCCAAAACCCCATCGGGGAGGCAGGAAGTTGGAGCAGCGGCCTCTCAAGCAGCCACGCAGCAGGTGGTTTCATGGCCCTCCATATACAGGCAGGTACACTGAGGGTCAGGGTGGTTACCACTCGTCCCCCGAGCCGCCCAGCCATTTAGCCACAGAAAAGGTCATGGCTTTTATGCCCCAGTGAAGCTGAAGATTTTTCTTCCAGTTTTTAAAAATGTTTACTACCCGGCCTGGCACAGTGGCTCATGCCTGTAATCCAGCACTTTGGGAGGCCGAGGTAGGTGGATCACAAGGTCAGGAGTTTGAGACCAGCCTGACCAATGTGGTGAAACCCTGTCTCTACGAAAATACAAAAATTCACCGGGCATAGTGGCGGGCGCCTGTAATCCCAGCTACTTGGGAGGCTGAGGCAGGAGACTCGCTCGAACCCGAGAGGCAGAGGTTACAGTGAGCCGAGATCGTGTCATTGCACTCTAGCCTGGGCAACAAGAGTGAAATTCCGTATCAAAAAAAAAAAAAAGGTTTACTACCCAGGGCAGTTAGCACCTGGTGCCTCTGTCTAGCCCAGGAGGTGAACATTTGCCACTCCCATGTCTTTCTTTCCACCAGACCTGAGCCTCTTTTTGTGATGGGTACATCCTGCGGGCCCACTGTCCTACTTTTGGAGACTTTGAGAAACGGGGTCCACATTACCGGCTGTGGGTGGGCAAGGTGAGGCTCTGAGGTGAAGAGGGGGAGTATTTTTATAGGGGGAAGAAATACATTTCCTCTACCCTGTTAGGCTCAGTGTTTGGAGGCCTGTGAATTAAACTCACTGAAGATAAATTAACAAGAGAAAAGGCAGATTTAATCACATACCTATGGGAGTTCACTAAAAAATATGACTCAAAGGAGCCCTTAGAAGGTGGGGTCCCTGGCTGGTGTGAAGGTAGTTGACTGCTCAGTCAGTTACAGATTACACACCTTGTTCCACTCTCTCTCTTCTCACGACTGCCCTTGTCTAAAAAAAAAGAAACCCCAAAAAACAAAAATAAAAAAACTTTGGGCCCGTATACCATCTTAATAAGGGAAAAGGAAGAAGAGAAAGCACATATTATGGGTCGGGTGCCGTGGCTCATGCCTGTAATCCAGCTTTTTGGGAGGCCGAGGTGGGCGGATCACCTGAGGTCAGTAGTTCAAGACCAGCCTGGCCAGCATGATGAAACCCTGCCTCTACTAAAAATACAAAAATTAGCCAGGCGTGGTGGTGGGTGTATATAATCCCAGCTACTCAGGAGGCTGAGGGAGGAGAATCGCTTGAACCCGGGAGGCAGAGGTTGCAGTGAGCAGAGATCATGCCATTGCACTCCAGCCTGGGCAACAGAGTGAGACTCCACCTCAAAAAAAGAAAAAAGGCATATTATGGCAAAAAAAGATAAATAGGCCGTTAAGAGCTGAAATGGGAGATGTGACAGTCTTTTGACAGTGTCTGCTTAGGTGTGGTGTGGAAGCTACTCATCTCCCAGGGAAGTCACTTGCTCCCAGGGAGCAGATTTGTGACAACAGTTCTTTTTTTTTTTTTTGAGGAGTCTCACTCCGTCACCAGGCTGGAGTGCAGTGGCACAAACTCGGCTCACTGCAACCTTCGCCTTCTGGGTTCAAGCGATTCCTGCCTCAGCCTCCCGAGTAGCTGGGACTACAGGCATGCGTTGCCACGCCCGGCTAATTTTTGTATTTTAGTAGTGATGGAGTTTCACCACATTGGCCAGGATAGCCTCAATCTCTTGACCTTGTGATTTGCCCACCTCCGGCTTCCAAAGTGCTGGGATTACAGGCATGAGCCACCGCGCCAGGCCGGACAACTGAGCTGTCTTAGTGCAGTAGGACTGCAGGAGGCTTGAATGCCTTCTGCTCAAAATAATTATTTTTTTGAGACAGTTTCTTTTGTCTCTGTCACCCAGCCTAGAGTGCTGTGGCACCATCAGGGCTCACTGCAGCCTCAACTTCCTGGGCTTAAGTGATCCTCCCATCTTAGCCTCCTGAGTAGCTGAGACTCCAGGCGTGTACCTCCGAGCCTGGCTAACTTTTGTATTTTTAGTAGAGAGAGAGTTCTGCCATGTTGCTCAGGCTGGTCTCAAGTGATCTGCCTGCCTCAGCCTTCCGAAGTGCTAGGATTACCGGTGTGAGCCACTGTGTCTGGCCTCAAAATAATTTTTATGCCACAGCGACATATTCTGTCCCCCTTCATGGGTGTCCTTGTGTCCTTGTTCTGTTCCGAAGCAGATGGCGGTGAGAGTCCCAGCCAGGCAGTGGATAGCGTGGAGACCCTTCATAAAAATTCCAAGTGCTGCCCGTTGAATTGGCCAGGGCTTTGCGCGACTGTTCAGGCAGCAGGAACTGGACGGACCTTTGCCTTCATACTCAGTTCTCTGTTTGAGCTAAGGATTTTGTGCTGGGCTCAGTTCAGTCCTGTGGCAGGAGCCAGAGGATTATGTTGTGGGAGGAAAGGATTAAACCTCAAGGGGACAGAGCTTCCTTAGATGGCAAAAAAGCTGTTGGCCCCTACCCCTACCCCCACGCCTGTGGCTCTTAGGCACGTTCAGCTCCAGAATCTTGCTATGATTTGGCACATCCTAGGTGTGTGTCTGTCGCACGTGTGGGCATGCGTGGATCTGTCTGTCAATCCTAACCAGCAGTCCTCAGTACCAGCTACACATTAGAATCTGCTGAGAAGTTTTTTAAAGATACCAACAGCCCCTCCCCCCTGATTAGAATTGCTGGGGCAGGGACCAAACATCTGTGCTTTTAATTTTTATTTCATTATTTTAGAGGTGGGGTCTTCCTATGCTGCCCATTCAGGACTTGAACTCCTGGGCTCAGGCAATCCTTCTGTCTCAGCCTCTCAAGTAGCTTGGACAATAGGTGTGAGTCACTGCACCTGGTTATCTGTATTTTTTTTCTTTTTTTTTGAGATGGAGTTTTGCTCTTCTTGCCTAGGCTGGAGTGCAATGGCACGATCTCAGCTCACTGCGACGTCTGCCTCCTGGGTTCAAGCAATTCTCCTGCCTCAGCCTTCCAAGTAGCTGGGACTACAGGCACGCGCCACCATGCACAGCTAGTTTTGTGTTTTTAGTAGCGACGTGGTTTCTCCATGTTAGTCAAGCTGGTCTCGGACTCCCAATCTCAGGTGATCCACCTGCCTCAGCCTCCCAAAGTGCTGGGATTACAGGCGTGAGCCACCACACCAGGCTGGTTATCTGTAATTGTTAGGATGCTCCCCCTAGGATGGTAATGTGTCACCAGGATTGGGAACTGTTACTTTCACCAAACCTATTTTTTATTTTTTTCAAGACAGAGTTTTACTCTTTGTTGCCCAGGCTGGAGTGCAGTGGTGCAATCTCGGCTCACTGCAACTTCGGCCTCCTGGGTTCAGGCATTTCTCCTGTCTCAGCCTCCTGAGTAGCTGGGATTACAGGCGCCTAACACCATTCCCAGCTAATTTTTGTATTTTTAGTAGAGACTGGGTTTCACCACCTTGGCCAGGTTGGGCTCGAACTCCTGACCTCAGGTGATCCACCTGTCTTGGCCTCCCAAAGTGCTGGGATTACAGGCATGAGCCACCGCACCTGGCCTGACCAAACCTACTTCCAGAAGTCAAACAAATATCTTACTCCTTGATCTTACCACCCTCCTGCCAGCAAATTGTTTATTGCTGGATTCAAAATGCTGCCGTCTCAGCTGCCCAGCGGTTGTTTTGGCCTGTATTTTGGTGATGGGAGGGTTTGAGGAGCTGCAGAACATCACACCCAGTCAGCAGCCTGGAGCTCCCAACTGGCAGTCCTCACCTCTTCATTGTTGTGGAGAGAGAGCTCACAGGGCTGGGTGCCCCGGTGCAGGAGGTACATGGTTTCTAGTTGCTGCTGAAATCAGTGCAGGGCCCCATTGTTTTGTATTGGGTGTTGAGGATCTTGGTTTTATATCTACCATGAGTTTGCGGCCCTGGGACATGCTTGATGTTGGCTCAAGGGGAACGGAGGCTGGAGGGACAGGGTGGTTGGATTGGACATGGGCCTGGGCCCGTTGCTAATCTACAAAGTAGTCATCACGCAGGAATAATAGAGCTGGCTGCGCACCACAACCAACTCAATTATTTAAAAGTAAGGTCACACTTTTAATAATTTTAATAATGTCACATTTTAAGTTATTGTCAAATAATTTATAAGACACACCATTGGTATAATGATAGCTTTTCAAGAAGGTTATAAGAAGGCATGTTGGGCCAGGCAAGGTGGCTCACACCTGTAATGACAGCACTTTGAGAGGCTGAGGTCGACAGATCACTTCAAGCCAGGAGTTCGAGACCAGCCTGGCCAACATGGTGAAACCCTATCTCTACTAAAAAAAAAAAAAAAAAAAAAAATTAACTGGCCTGGCAGCATGCTTGTAATCCTAGCTTCGCAGGAGGCTAGGGCGGGAGAATGGAGAATCACTTAAAAACCAGGAGGCGGAGGTTGCAGTGAGCCGAGATTGCTCCACTGCACTCCAGCCTGGGTGACAGAGTGAGACTCTGTCTCCAAAAAAAAAAAAAGAAAGAAAGAAAAAGGAAAAAAGTAAAAAGGCTTGTTGAAGGTACCTGCTAGTGGAGGTTGCACCTTGACAGGAGGTAGCGTGAGCATTTCTTAGAAAGGAGGAAATGGGCCCTCCTGCTACAGAGATCCACAAACATAGATTGAGGCCTGCTGCCTAGGAGACCCGAAAGAGGCAAAGGTGAGTAAGATTCAAGGTCTCCAAGTCAGAGTCTGACTCTGGGGGTACTGGTCACATATGATGGAGGACTTCAGGAGGGCTTCCTGGAGGGGGTGACATTTACCAAGGGGATTTTAGGTGGGGTTTGCGGGACAGTGGGGGCTGGCTGAAGAGTGTAGGCTCCTTAGACAGGAGTGGGAATTCAGCCTTGAAGGTGTGTTGGCCAGATTGCAGGGGCCCTCGAATGCAAGGGAAGAATTTCTGCTTTAACAGAAGAGCCTGGGAAGCTGTTTGGGAAAAGGAGTGATAAATAAGAGGGGTCATCCAGCAGAGCCCTGCATGGGTGGGAGGGAGCGAGATGGGAGGTGGGTGTCGGCGAGGGACGATCCCTCTGGTCCAGGGGAGTGGTCATAGGGCGGAAACTGACCTTATGGATGTGGGCAGGAAGGGACTGATTTGAGATACCAGGAAGAAGCAGGCAGTAGGACTTGGTGAGAGGGCTGGGGCATGGGTGGGTGCAGCTAGTGGGAGCCTGAGTCTCAGAAAATGGGCAGTGCTCAAAGGGGGAGAACTGAGGCAAGCTGTGGAGAGGCAGCTGAGCTGGGAAGCTGGAATGGAGGTGCGGTCACCCCAGGAGACTAAGTCAGGGGGCGAGGGGTTCCCCTGGGAGCTATCCAGACCCCAGTGCTAGGGAATACAGAGGGGAGAAGGAGGGGAGAAGAACCGGCTCCTGCGGGTCAGGCACTGCCCTTGAGGTCAGATGGGGTGGGGCTGGATATTGGCCATGAGGACTTTTTCAAGAGCTCCGTTAATAGTGAGATGGGCGGACACCAGATGGCTCGGGTTAAGTGAGTGGGTGGTAGGAAGATGGAAGCCGCAGCGTAGACCCACTTTGAGATGGGGAGGAAGTTCACAGTCTGAGGAGGTAGGTGAGCCAAAGGAAGGGGGTTTGCTTGTTTTTGAGATGGGGGCATCCTGAACATCCTCCCAGGCCAAGTGAGAAGAAACCAGAAGAAAGAGGAACATGTCCCCCAAATGTGCCAAAACAGCCCAGCAGCTGCGCTGCCTGGCAGAGAAACTGCAGAGGCCCCTGTGTCCTGCCATGCCTGCCTGGGGATGGTCCCTTGACTGCCCACCCCAGGATGGCAGGGGCTGTGGGTGCTCCCAGCCCCTTGTCGAGGTCGGTCCGTGGCAGGCATGTGGGCTGCCTCGGGCGCCATTGCTGCAAATGTATACCGGCTATCAGAACCACTCTCCTGCCCCCCAGCCCGTCCCCCTGAACCCCCATGCAGAAGCCCGGCCACCAGCCCACAGAGGAGGGGGGTGATATTGTTCTTGGCATTTGATGGGAAGCATCTGCTGCATCCCACTGGGGTGTTGCCCAGGATGGATTGGAAAAGAGTTGGCAGGAAGGCTGAGCTCTGTGCTCACAACCTGGCTTGGTGGTGGCCGAGGAACTTGGCAGGAGCAGAGTGCAGGACATGGAAACTGGGGGTTGGTGCATGAGTGCGTGCACGTGTGTGTGTGTGTGTGTGTGTGTGTGTGTGTTTATGTACATGTGTGTGCGGGGGGTGGGGAGGAAGCTGAGAAGCCACATCCCCTCCTCTGCTGCTGCAATGCTGCATGCTTCAGCAGCACGTGGGTGTCGCCACACTTCCTGGCAGGTGTCAGCCTCCACGACTGTTCTGGGCTCTTCTCCCAGTTGGCTCAGTTGGAGTTGGGAGCCTCAACTGTTCCCTGTGGCTTCCAGAGTGGGACCCTGCTGTGGGACAGGCTGGCCCATGCTGCTCCCTCCCCTGTGACCCTTCCGTTGGATGGATCACCAGGAAGGACTGTGGGCATTGCCCACAGACAGATGGACACCTTGGGGCTTTCTTTCTAATGCCCCTTGAAAGGGGAATTTTCTCAGCTGTGGGACGAGTCTCTGTAGATATGGGAAGCTCACTATCTTAAGAGCAGCAGCCTTGGGAAATCCAAAACAGACTCCTGAAGCAGGTGGGAAGGGGTCCTGTCCCATTCAGTGGCTGTGTGGCCTGGAGGGAGTTCAGCTCAGCTCGGAGTGTGTTTCTTCATCTGCAGGAGAAGCGCCTGTTACTGTGGGCTGAGGAATGGGCTGAGGGCTGCATTCGCTTCCTGTTGCTGCTGTAACTGCTTATCACAAACTCAGTGGCTTAAAGCAACAGAGACTTCTTCCCTACAGTGCCCAGGGTGAGAAGCTGGAGATCAGTCTCACCAGACTAAAGTCTAGGTATTGGCAGAACCCCTTCCTACCTCTTCCAGCTTTGGCAGGGCTGCTGGAGTTCCTTGGCTTGTGGCTGCATCCTCCAGCCTCTGCCTCCATCCTCACACGGCCTCCTCCTCCTCGGCAATCAAATCTCCCTCTGCCTCCCACTTTTTTTCCTGAGAGGAAGTCTTGCTCTGTCACCCAAGCTGGAGTGCAATGGCATGAACTCAGCTGACTCCCAGGTTCAACTGATTCTCCTGCCTCAGCCTCCTGAGTAAGTGTGATCGCAGGCATGTGCAACCACACCTGGCTAATTTTTGTGTCTTTAGTAGAGACGGGGTTTTGCCATGTTGGCCAGGCTGGTCTCGAACTCCTGACCTCAGGTGATCTGCTCACCTTGGCCTCCCGAAGTGTTGGGATTGCAGACGTGAGCCACCATGCCTGGCCTGCCTCCCTCTTAAAGGACATTTGTGATTTGGGGCCCACCTGGGTCATCTCTTCATCTCACCATCTTCAGTTACATCTGCAGAGTCCCTGTGGCCACATAAGGTGACAGTCTAGGGAAGGAGAGTTCTTAAGCCTACCCTGGGGGTATCTTAGGGCCCTTCTGATGTTTAGATACAAAGCAAGAAAACAAACTAGCTCAAGAGAAAAAAAGGACTCATTGAATTCTGTTGTTTTAAATGTATATTTTTTTATTGTGCTAAAATGCACAGAACATAAAAGTTGCCGTTAGTAACATCTAGTGCATTCACAGTGTTGTGTGACCATCACCTCCAATACCAGATCTTTTCATCACCCCAAAAGCAAACCCCGTAGCCATGAAGGACCCACTCCCCATCCGCCCTCCCCAGCCCTTGGCAGCCACCAGAATGCTTTCTGTCTCTCCAAATTCTTTTTTAATAAATGCAATTCTGTGTGACTTTAAAATAAATAAACATGAACACAATGAGTTGCTTACTGGAAGGGTATCTGTTCGGGGAGGCCAGCGCGTGGAACACCCAGGTCTCTAGAAGGGCAGGAGTTGAAGCAGCATGGATGTGCCACCCTCTCCTCCCCTCGCCCCTTCCTTGGGGTCACTGCCTGAGCGTCCCTCTTTGGAAATGGCCCAAATAGCATCTCAGCCCCCACATCTGCATGGCCTCCTGGCTTCAGAACCCTTCACCCAAAAACATTCCGGACTTCAGACTCCTGGGAAAATTCCAGTGGCCTCACTCTCCCTTTTGAGCCAGTGGCAGCCTGCCTTTGAGTCAGGGGTGTATCCTGGCCCTAGCACCTGTGAGCTAGGACAGCAGGGTAGGCATGCCCAGGGAAGTGGGTGAGTTGGCAGTCACAGTAATTGATGTCTTTGGAATTGTCTAAGAGATACTTAGCGTGTGCCTAGCACATTCATTTCTAGCATATTCCTTTTTTTTTTGAGGCAAAATCTTGCTCTGTTGCCCAGGTTTGAGTGCAGTGGCGCTATCTTGGCTCAGTGCAACCTCCTTCTCCTGGGTTCAAGTGATTCTCCTGCCTCAGCCTTCCGAGTAGCTGGGACTACAGACACGTGCCACCATGCCCAGCTGATTTTTGTATTTTTAGTAGAGATGGTGTCTTACCATATTGGCTAAGTTGGTCTTGAACTCCTGACCTCAGGTGATCCGCCTTCCAACATGCTGGGGTTACTGGTATGAGCCACCACACTGGGCCACATTCATTTCTTAGGAGAGGCTCTGTTCTTTCTGATAGTGAAATGTCCCCAGCAGGCAGTGGGGTACTGATGGCAGGATCTGTGGCCTCACCAGCATCTTACTTCGTGTTTCACCAAGCTGTGTCCTATCATCTTCTACATGTGGCTTGTAGACGTAGTGCTGAGAATGATCTGGGAGACTCAAATTATATGGTTCAGATCAACAGCTCTCCAATGACCTGGTGTTATCCTAGGATCAAATTGAGACTATCCCAGGCCAGGCGCGATGGCTCACACCTGTAATCCCAGCACTTCGGGAGGCTAAGGCAGGCAGATTATTTGAAGTCAGTGGTTCAAGACCAGCCTGGACAACATAGTGAAAACCTATCTCTACTAAAAATACAAAAAGTAGCCAGGCATGGTGGCATGCACCTGTAGTGCACCTCTTGAGCACCAGCTACTCAAGAGGCTGAGGCAGGAAAATTGCTTGAATTTGGGAGACGGAGGTTGCAGTGAGCCAAGATCACGCCATTGCACCCCAGCCTGGGCGATGGAGCAAGACTCTGTCTCAAAAAAAAAAAAAAAAAAAAGATTGAGACAATCTGAGCTGCACTGAGCAGCGTGATAGCCGCTGGCTGCACAGGGCCTTTGAACACTTGAAATGTGGAGACTCCGGGTCTGTGAAATGCATGCTGGGTTTCAGAGTCCCAGCAAGGGAAAAAAAAAATGTAAAATAGCTGTCATTTTTACACTGATTACATGTTGAATTGATAATATTTGGGGCTCTGTCAAGTGAATTATATTAAAATTAATATCACCCGTTCTTACATTTTTTTAATGATTTCTTTTTTTTTTTTTGAGACGGAGTTTCGCTCCTGTCACCCAGGCTGGAGTGCAGTGGCGTGATCTTGGCTCACTGCAAGCTCCACCTCCCAGGTTCAAGCGATTCTCCTGCTTCAGCCTCCCAAATAGCTGGGATTACACCCACCACCATGCCTAATTTTTGTATTTTTAGTAGAGACAGGGTTTCACCCTGTTGACCAGGCTGGTTTGGAACTCCTGACCTCAGGTGATCCACCTGCCTTGGCTCCCCAAAGTGCTTGGGATTACAGGTGTGAGCCACTGCGCCTGGCCTGTTCTTACATATTTTATTGTGGCTGTTGGAATATGTAAGGTTGCATCTGTGGCCTGGGTGCCGTTTCTGCTGGAGGGTTGGACTGTGGGACAGCTGAGCAGGCTTTGGGGCTACTCTTCCTGAATGCTGAGTGTGTGTCTTACTTCGGTTTTGGGGACTGGTGTTGGTGGTACCCATTTTACGGATGGGGAAGGTCAGATCCCACAGAGGTTGAGTGATGGGCCCAGGGCTTCAGAGTTTGGTGTTTGACTCAGAACCCACGGCTCTGATCCACCACCAGCCTCTCTCCCGTTCAGAGGAACAGGGACTCCCGGCATGCAGTCCCTTCCCAGACACTTCCTGGCTCTGGCCTAGCGCCCGGAGACCAGTGACAGCAGCTCCCCGTGGCCACTCACTGTGAGGGTAGGGAGGCTGTGGGAGAACAGCCATCTGAAGCCTTTATGGCAAACCCAAAGACCAGGAGGCCTTCAGGGGTAACACTGGCCATGAAGAGTGGGAATCGATGGGTCAGAGGCCAGTGACTGCTGGCCGGGGCGCCGCTGGACATGGCCGGCCTGTGTGGCCAGCGTGGCGGGTCCCGGGGGGCTTCAGTCACCACCAGCCACACATGGGGATATGGGATGGGAAAGGTGAGCAGACGGGGAGCCCAGTGAACACGAGGTCCCATAGGGGCTGCCCGTGGGCGTAGCTTACAGAATTCAGCCCCTGGCCCTCTCCCAGGTGCTGAGGTGTCACCAAGGGCTGCCTTCCACTTGAACGAATCCCTCCCAGCCCCCAGCAAGCCCTCTCCCAGGCGCTCTCTCCTAGTGTGGGAGGGGCCCCGCCCCTGCTGGGAGTGACTCACTTGGGTTCAGAGGTCGTGGCACTGAGCTGGGTCTGGCTGATCCCAGGCCCAGCTCCCTCCTCTGGGGACCCCCTTGCTCGTGCCCCTCTGGGTCCCAGCATATCCCAGGCCTGCAGGGAGTGGGAGAGGAAGAGACTGACTCACTGGCCAGGTCCCCCAGGGGCTGGGGAGGCTGGAGAGGCAGGAGTTAGATCGCATCTGAGGCCAGAGATCTGGGAAGCTGTGCCCCGATCACCTGCCCCTCCTCTCCAGCTCCTTCTCCCTTCCGAGGTCCTAGCCAACAAGCACGTGGGGTAGACAGGACAAACCCAGGTGGCTTTGTTCCAGCCTGGCTGCAGGTATGAATGCCTTTCTGGGGTGGCTGGCCATGCTCTCTGAGAGCCCAGGTGTAGGGATGTCTGAGCAGGTAGGTGGGGGAGCACCTGGGAAAGGGGTCATCGGGACAGGGCACAGGGAGGGAGGGTGTCCAGGTCAGTGCCAGGACCTGGCTGGGAGGAGGGGGCTCCTTACAGGCACGGGCTTTGGCAAATGCAGGGACAAAGGCAAGGATGGTGGCCAGAGGTCTTTGGGAGCCTCTTCCCCTCTCTTCTTCCTGGCAGCTCCCCCTGGCTCTTCCCAGGGACCCTGTCACTTTCCTTTAGCAAGTGGCGGCTCCTTGGCGTCCCTCTGGTGTCCCCAGGTTGCTGCTGCACTGGGCCTGCTGCCAGGCGCCCCTCTCTCTGCCTGCCCCCTCCTCCTGCTCCTCTCACCCTGCCCCCTTGGAGCAATTCCCCACCGAGCCTCCCTTCCCAGGCAGTTGAGGTCCCTCCCTACCTCTGCCCCACGCTCTGGGAGGCTTCTTGTTCCGCGGCCACAAAGCCCCTTTGATCCTCTGCTCGGCTCTGAGCCATGTGACCCGGTGGGCGGGCCGAGGCTCTCAGCGCGTCCAGCGCAGCCCGACGTTCAGCTGCTGGGGTGAGTCCTGCTCCTTTGTTCTTCCCAGCCTTGTACGACTGGCCGGGGGGCTCTCAGGTGGTGCGGCCGAGAGGCGGGCCCCCGATGGCCACGGTGGTGGGGCCGGGAGCCACGCTGTCCCCGAGCCCTGGCCTCAGGCGGCAGGACTGAGTGGGGTCCCCAGGAGAGGGGTGGCAGGGAGCTCAGTCTCCACGCGGGGACCAGATTTTCGGCCTTGAAATAGAAGAATAGGGCTTTGTGTGGTCACAGCTATCTCTTTGTAAATATTTGGCCAGCTAAGCTGAGGGCCTCCATCCTCCTGCCGGGAGTGTCTTGGAACTTGTTTCCCTTTTGCAAGGGGTTTCCCTGGCTTCCAGGAGGGCCAGGAAGAAATGAGAATTGGCCACCACTTTCTCTAAGATCACTCTGCTGAAGTTATCACCCCGTCGGGCTCCCCAAGACTGGCTGGAGTCTAGAGATAGTTTCAACGATAGAAATGCAGTAACCCATGCTCCAGGCGGCGCCGGCACTGGGATCCGGGGAGCCGCTGCCACAGCCCAGGATTCCTGGATGTGCTGGGGATGTGCGGGCGGTCCCGGGAGGAGTGAGGAGGGAGGCTGCTGCTGGCTTGGCTGGGATGCGTGTGCTCTGCTTCTCAAGAATGGCGTGCAGGGTGTCCACAGTACAGAGGCATGTCAGTGAGCAGGGCCTGAGGGAGCTCCCAAACGGACCTGCTTTCAGGGGGGCTTTTCATGCTGGGAGAACCACAGAGACTAAAGTCATGCAGCCAACAGAGGGTGGTCCCTGGCAAGCAGGGAGGGGCGAGGAGCTCTGCAGGCAATGCCATCTGTGTTCGAAACGCCATCCCAGTGACTCTGGGGACTGCCTCAGCCTCCAGCCTGCCGCCCTTCATTCCTGGCCCCTCTCTCTTTGCTTTTTGACGTGAAATCTTCTGTGTTTTGGTCAGAGGTTTGGGGAACAGCTCTCTGCTCATCTAAGATAAGTTTGGAATTCTTTTCCAGGGGAGAAATGTGCCTCCCGGAAGCAGGTTGAACAGTAGTTTCTGGCAGGTCTGTTCTGGGCTGTGGGGAAAGCACCTGCTGGACCAGGGTCGAGTTGGAACTCGGTTTGGATCCCACATGGGGAGACCCATTAGAAGAGAAGGAAGCAGAAAGAGGTCTCATTCCCTGATAATGCAGTGGGTTTCCTCCTCCATTCATTGCCGCCTGGCTTTGAAACTTAGTGGGGCCTCCTGTGTTTCCATGAATGTCATCATTCTCTTTAGCCAAGTCCAGTGGCAGCCCCAGGAACTCCTTTTCAGGAAAGGGAGGAAGGTGTTTGCTTAGCATCCCACATGTGAGTCCTCGTTGGAAAGGTGGGATTCTTGCTTCTCCTTCTTGGGTCTCTTTTTGGGCTGAAGTGTGGCCCAAAAGAGACCCAAGCTCAGCAGGAGGAAGGCCCGTGGTGTAGCTCGCCTTTCTTAATGCCCGGCTGTGGGGACCTGAGTTGCCGCTGACCCTGGCCTGCCCCTCCTGTCCCTGGTCATTTCTGTGTCGGGGCGCCTGAGACACGATTGCATTGACTGCTTTGTGTGCGTTCCCACCACCCCCGCCCCTGTAGGCTGTCATGGTGACAGTGATGGGGCCAATTCAGCTGGAGGTGGGGAGGACCCTCTGTGTGCACGTAGGGTGTGGCGTGGGGCATTCTGGGATGAGCAGATGTGACTTCTGCCCTGAGAACCCTGTCTTCATGGAAGGCGGTGGCATAGTTGTAGGCAGAGCCATCAAGTACTGCAGTCAGACCAGCATTCCATGTCAAAAATGGCCTTGTCCACTGGGCACAGTGGATCGAGCCTGTAATCCCAACACTTTGGGAGGCCAAGGCAGGAGGATCACAAGGTCAGGAGTTTGAGACCATCCTGGCCAACGTGGTGAAACCCTGTTTCTACTATAAATACAATAAAATTAGCCGGGTGTGGTGGCACGTGCCTATAATCCCAGCTACTCAGGAGGCTGAGGCAGAGTTGTTTGAATCCAGGAGGCGGAGGTTGCGGTGAGCTGAGGTTGTGCCATTGCAGCCAGCCTGGGTAACAAGAGCATGACTGTGCCTCAAAAATAAATAAATCAAATGAAAATAAAGCCTTGTCTGGGCCTGGGGTCTGTCCTCTGAACCCCAGGTCCACTGTCCTGAGCTTGAAGGACAGGCTCCACAAAGACTTTCAGCCCAGAAGCCCTGGACCCACTCGGGCAACCAGCATCTCTGCGTTGACCACTCCCAGCCCTGCCCGGCCTCCGGGGCCACCGTATCCTCTCTACTTCCTGTTCTGCCACAGCTGGTCTGAGCTGCTGTTATCAGACCCTGCGAGGCACTTCCACAGGAGGGGCTACCCTGTCTTTAGGAGCTCCCCTCCCTGCCCCCCAGGCCTGGGGCAGTGTTCGGCTTCCCTGCTGGTGTCAAAGGTCTCAAGGCCCTTTAAGATGCGCGTCAGCACCGTCAGCAGCTTCCGTTATCTGGCTCCTCAGTACGTGTAAGCCTTTCCCATACACCCCGGATGTTTAGGGCTTCCGCCCTCTCTCCCTGGCTGAGGGTGTGGGAAGAGGGCTTTATTTCAATGCTTGAGAGTAGGGTCAATGGGCGGGGTGAGCTGGAGGGGGGGCTGCTCCCCGCTGGCCCCTTTCTGCAGCCCTCACCTTAGCATAGGGCATTGATACCAACTGGCTTTGGGAAGACCTGGGGGCTGATGACCCCGGAGGCTCCCAGCTTCCCGCAGCCGCTCTTTGGGGAAGAGGCTTCCTGAGGGCCTTGTGGCCCTTGGCTGGGACTCTGTTCCCGGTTCTGCCTTCCAGCGCCGAGCTTTGATTTGTCCATTGAGCGTGGGCGCAGTTCCTGAACAGGTAGGGGCCTGTTCCTGGAGCTCTGCAGAGGCTTGGGAAGCTTTCCCAGAAGCGCTCCCGAGGGGGCGGCCATACCCAGTCCGCTCTACGTGTGAGTTTGTTTGATGAGGAATTAGCTGGGAAGGTGGGGGTCTAATTACAGGCTCGTGAGGGTCCCTCTCGCCCCACCCAGGAAGCGTCGGAGTTCCTGGCACTGTGCCTGCCCCGCTGGCTGCAGGGGGCTTATGAGAGCCTTGCTCCAGGGTCTATAGGGTAGCAATGGGAACCCTCCCCACGTTGGCCCCCCGCAGGCTGGCTGTTCAAACTTGCCACAGCTCAGCCTCTTCCTCCTCTCTCTTATCCACCCTGGGAATCATACACTGCCCACTGGGGGCTGAGGGGCTGCAGAAGAGAGAGCTTAACACCCAGAGGCCAGGGCCTTCTGCAGGCGCTGAGCTGCTATGGCCTGATCTGGGCTCCATGCTGGAACCGTCACAGCAGAGTTAGTGATCGGCCTGGAGGAGCTGCTTCACACCAGCTGACTCCAGGGCTGATTTCACGTGGTAGTGCCAGGCCTTGGTTTTGCTGGGGGTGGTGGTCAGTGCAAAGGGCCCAAAGAGTGGCAGAGTGCTGGCCCCTCTGCCCTCCCCGTGGCCAGCCAGCCTCAATGTGATTTGCTTTTTTTTTCCCCTCCTTTTCCCTATAAATGACACTAAATGCGATTTGTCAGTGCTTTCATTTGGGTCCCGTAGTTGGATCACAGGCAGAAGCACTGCAGATTTGTCACTGTCCCGAAGTTAGGGGTGAGGGACACCTTCTGTGAAATCCTGGCTCCTGGGTGCTCTTGGAACCCCAACTCTGGCTAGGCCTTGAGGGGCTGACACTGATGGGGTTGCCGACACTGACCTCTGCATGGCCTTCGGGAAAGGGGCCCTTCGCTCTCTGTCCCATCCAGCCTGGCTGGCAGCACCCTCTTCTCAGGCCTGTGCCCCTGGCAGGGCCTGCTGCCCCACCCTGCTCTGTGGGTGCCAGGCTCCAGGCGCCGGGTGACTCGGTCATCTGAACGGTCACTGAACAGTCAACCTTGCCAGTGTCCCCAGGGGACTGTGCATGGGCATCCCCCCTCCCCCACATCCTTGTCTCTTCTCTCTCAGCCTTTGCTCCAGGGCCACCACAGGACCAGAAGATTCATGGACATGGTAGGGCACGTCCACTAGGCAGATTGGGCCCTGAACCTGAGCACCCCCTCCAAGGGACACATCCACTAGGCAGATTGGGCCCTGAACCTGGGCGCCCCCTCCAAGGGGCACGTCCACTAGGCAGATTGGGCCCTGAACCTGGGCACCCCCTCCAAGGGGCACTT